CCCAACCAAACCAGAATTTTATTGCAGATTCGGGGTCCTCTCGCCGAGCACAGTAGGACCCCGCCTTCAAAAAAAAATAATAATAATTTCTGGGCTGTTTTTTTTGCCTTCCCGTTTTGCCCGGGCGACCCACCCGGCCCCGCCCGGCCGGGCGGCGTCCGTACTCGGCTTCAACCCCAATAATCTGAAAAAGCCTTCAGCCTTGTTCTGATACGCTAAGCCTTGGTCGGCCACCGCAGGGTGCAATTCTCAGACCTGATGGCCATACTCTACAAGCCAAAACCAAATAAAATAAAATAAAATAAAATAAACAAAAGTCTTTTATCCTATCCAAAATATATTATTGGGGGCAACATACACCACTGTTTTTGCTCTTCTGCTGCAAAGCGACAAACCGACGTTTAGAACCAAATCAGCGCAGCAGGAATAATTCCCGCCATCCACACCTGCATCCGCCAGTCGTCTTCAGACTGTTTCGTGGGCCTCGCCGATCCCAACCCTGCTCGTTCCATAACCTCAGTAGCCGTTGGAACTCCATAGTAGGCCCGACCCCCCGTCATGGGGGTTTTCCTACCTTGTCAAGAACTTCATCAACTTGATCCCACAGCTCACGGCTACCTCGCCTTTTCATCCATTTTATACCAGCCTCAACTGTGTGGCTTGGAATTCCCAATTTCCTGAGCTCCTCCTGCAGGGTGAGGACGTTCCAGCATACAAGTCCATTGTCGTTGGTATTGATAGCAATACGTTATATCGTATTTGCAATAGTCGCGAATGTGGCCGCCTTCGGGCCATGTGAAGAGAAGTCTTTGTAGGTCCGGAAAGGCAGGGGCTGCTCATCCCAGATAGCAGCTGCGTTTTTGAATTTGTGGGACATCAATATTGCCGCCGGGGCTTCGGAGACCACAATCCTAGTCTCAAGGAAATCCAGGACCCCCACCCCGGGGTCGGTACGTTCAAGTTTCAGGCCCGGTGGGTAGCACTCAGCTACCTTATCCAGACATCTCAGCAGTTCTTTTTCCATCTGAGTCTTGCCTGGGAAACAAGGCTATGATAAACAAGTCGTCAATGTACCTTTTCCCAGTGATAAATCTTGTCCTTTCCCCCAGTGAACTCAGGAACTGATATTCTGAATACATACACAAGACACACGCCAATTCAGGGCTAGCACGGCCCCCCATTGGTATGCCACATTTTTGTCGCAGGGTCGAGTCGGACACCAGAAAATAGGTATTTTCAAGCTGGTACTCCGTCAGTGTGACCAGCCACTGTAGCCGCACCGACTTCCAGCCAGATTCTCCATGGGGCTTTCTAAAGGCAGCGATTTTTCCCTTTGTCTTAACCCTGATCCAATAAAATCCCTGCTCAACAAACGTTTCAACCAGCCACTCATCAGTCCGGTGGATCGCAGCATGGGGCAGCTGAGTAAACATTTCTTTGATATCATAAGTTCGGGCTGCAATCCCAAGGCCCGCCTGCTTACTATGAAGATTGATTTTAAGGTTCCCAATAGACTGCAGGTTAAAGTGCGGCACTCTAGTCTTCCTGATCAAGAAGTTCAAGGAGGTGGATAGAATCCCAGACGCGGCCCTAAAGGGGCTCGCATAAGACGGCACAATCGGCCTCTTTTTTTGTTTATCTTTGTCATTAGTGATAATATAGGCATGCAGCAGCTCCCCGTTCATATCCCATTTTGCGACCCTCGCCAGTTTCAACTCATCATACCTGAGCCTCATCGCGCCAAGTACATAATTGTCATTATCAAGATACATCTTTCTCAAGCCCAATTCATACAGTTTAGGACATTCCACCCATGTCTCACTTGTGTTTCGATCAAGTGGTGACAATAACCAATAGTCAGCACCGCAAACCCATAACTTCAGTGCCAATCCCATGAACACTATATTGTTAGTCCTCATGGAAACTTGGGGTTGGGCCAATAGCCAGTAGCCAATGGCTCTCCACAAACAGCAAACCCCTTTGCAATGTATAATCCGGTGCTGAACTCGGATTTGCCTCCAGATCTGCGATCAGCTGAGAATACACAGGATCAGCTGCATAGGCTCTTGCGATTTTGTCAATCAGGCTGTCGCTAACTCTCCACTTTGACAATATGGCTCCCATGAAGTCACACCTCCTTGACACTGCATCCGCAACTTTGCTGTACTTCCCGTTCTTCAAGTCAAAGTTGAAGCTATCAATATAGGCAGACCATCTGGCTAGCTTATCTGATAACTTAGGTTGGGTCCATTGAAGAGTCTCCGTGCCCTCAGGGCATAATACAAAGCATAAAGCTCTCTCTCGTTGGTACTAGTTGCAACTCTCTTTGAAGGCATCTTCTTCGACAAATACTCCACGGGTCGTAAGCCACGCCCATCGTCTTGTTGCAACACCACCCCAATACCAACCTGACCAGCATTGGTGGTTAGCACAAATTGCACTGCAGGATCGGAAACCTTCAAGATGGGGTGTCTAACGAGGCGATCCTTGAGAGCCTGAAAGGACCTCTCACACTCCTCTGTCCACTCAAATGGGACATCCTTGGGCAGTGATGGCTTGGCCTTCAATGTACTTCTCATAGAAGTTGACCATGCCCATGAATGACTGCACATCTCTCACATTTTGTGGCGTTGGCCACTCTGCAACGGCCTCCACTTCCATGGCTTCTAGCCGAACTCCAGACCCATCAATGATATGCCCAAGATACAATATCTCTTCCTTCCCAAATTCGTTTTTCTTCACATTGATCTTGTACTTCCCTTTTCTCACTGCCGCAAACACTGCCTTCAGCTGCACTACGTGCTCCTCAACAGTGCGACTGAACACGAGGATGTCATCAAGGTAGACCACCACAACTGATCCAAATAGTCCCTCAGCAAGTCCGTCATAGCCCGCTGAAACATGGCAGGTGCGTTGGTTAGTCTGAATGACATAATATTGAACTCATAGCTTTTCTATTGAGTCCCGAACGTTGTCTTGTGCTGATCTGCGAGTTCCACCTCGATCTGATGATAGCCACTCTTCAGGTCGATCTTGGAGAAAATTATGCAGTCTGATGATAGCCACTCTTCAGGTCGATCTTGGAGAGAATTATGCAGTCTGATGATAGCCACTCTTCTGGTCGATCTTGGAGAAAATTCTGCAGCCCTGCACTGTCCGGCAGGTCATCAATGCGTGGCAACAGTTCCTCGTTCTTGATGGTGATGTTATTTAAACCACGGTCGTCGATGCACAGCCCAACCCCGCCATTTTTCTATGACACAAATAATACTGGCGCTCCGAATGGCGAAGTACTGGGCTTGATCCATCCTTTCTTTGTGAGTTCTTCCAACTGCTTCTTCAAATCTTCAAGATTTGCGGGCGACATACGATAGACACGCCGCTTTGGAGGTACAGCACCTGGTACTGTATGGATAGGATGCTTGACCTCTCTCTCCACAATGCCAGTTGGCTCTTCTTGCAGATCTGCAGTCTTTCAAAATTGTTGTTGATTGGAAGGGTTTGTGCATCCGCTGTAGTGACTCATGCTACCCAGAGTCCCTCACTGTGATGCTGGCGCAAATAATTGAAGAACACTGGTGCTGGCATTGACTTCTTCCTTAACTTGTCCTTCGCTGCTCCTTTTGTGTAACCCCTCATGCAAGCCACATAATTGCCTGCTGCATCAGGCATTTGCGCCATCTGCGTGGCGCAAGTAATCACTGCTCTCGCAACACTCAACCATCTCTCGCCAAGAACCATCTGAAACGGTAGTCCGTCCAGGATGAAGAAAGACATGGTATGATGCATTGTTGCACCCTCTGACGGTTGGCGGCCCTTGACTGGTCGATTGCCGACC